CGATATGATGTACATTGATCAAAGTGTTTTTGGATATGAAGTTTAATATTAGATGCATCAGTAATGAGATCATTATCTGTTCTAATGTTATCGAATTTGACAGGATATTTGTGTCGGTTAAGGATACTATTGATCATTAAGGTGGGGTTTGTTTGTAATTTATTACATCTTTTAGTAATATTGTTATCAATCTGTTGTTTAATCTCTTTAATATTTTTTATGTTATGGGTATAATATAGTGTTTTCTATTTATTTTTGGCCAAGCCTAATCAGTTTGTTAATAGATTATATTCAGTTGGTAGTAATGGGATGTTGAGATTACAAGATGTATTAATATAATTAATAAGTTGGTTATGATAAAAAAGAATAGATGTTGAGTGTTGAAGTGTATGTTTAGTTTGTCGAATAATATTGCCAAGTTTTTTAAGATAATGATGTAATTTTGAAGCTTTTGTAAAGAAAATATGTTAGAAATTTCTGACTATAAATTTTTTGTTGAGAATATGTTGGAGGGCTGCAGTAATAATACTATTCTGAATTTTGTGCTATATAGATTTTAAAGATTCAGAAGTTTGTGTATCGAGTGGTGTTTAGTTAATAGTTAGGTTTAAAGTTACTTGATCTGAAAAGAGTTGCCATTATTCATTGTTCATATTTTTATATAGGAATGTTCTTCATTGAGTTTTGGTTTAGTAACAGAGTTTGCCAGAGTATACATAAGGAAAAGACCAATTAGAAATAAGAATTTTGTGATCACTTTGGATACTAGTATCAGGATCTTTAATAGTAAAAGAGTTAAGATAACGAAGAAGAGGTTGGTTAGTCCAGATGTAGTCAATGCTACTACTATATCTACTGCTTTGTCAAGTAGGTATAAAGAATTGTGTATAACTAGCTAGGTTATATAAATTATTAAATTGAAGAAAGTGAAGTAGTTTATATTTGATTGAAGAGGATTGAATAAGATAATCAGATGCATTAAAGTCACCCAATATGATATGTTGTATGTTTAGTGTAATGGCTTGTTGAATCCATTGTATAATAATATTTTATACTGATAGTCTGAGTTGGGAGTTATCACTTGGTAAGTAAATTGAAATAATTCTAAACTTGAAGTCATGTTTGAAGAAAAGGTCTACTGCAATGGCATATCCTGTAAAAAGTAAAATTTTGTGGATGTGGCATTTAATGGACTTTTAGACTATAACTTTAAAGTTACATAACTTATATTTGTATAATATATTATTTAAGATTTAAAAATTAGCTAGATTATATAAAAGATAATATTAGCAAAAGTTAAGAATAAAAATAGTTAATTTTTTATTTTATTATAATATTTTTTATTGTATTTAATAGTTTTTTAATAATAATTATAATAAAAGCAATTTAAGTTTAAATAATTTTAATAGATTATTTAATAATTTAATAAATAATTAAAATTTAATAAAATCTTAAAGTATGTTATAATATTTTAATTATACTATTTAAATATTAAAAATTAAATAATATTTTTAATATTTTTAAATCTATAATAATTTTATTATTAATTATAACTTTGATAAGAAAAATAACTTTTATTATATTATTAAAACTTATTATATAAGAGTTAATATAAATAATAAACAAATTAATAATTAAACATCAATTATTAATATACTAACTTATTAAAATAGTTTATTTGTATTAAAAACAATAAATAATAATTAAATATATACTATTTGTATTAATTATTATACAAATTAAATAAAATAGTTAAAATAATAATTATTTTATATTTATTTTCATTAAAAAAAGAAAAATATTGTATAATTATTCTATATTTATTTTTTTAAAAAATAAAAAATATTAATAATTATATTATATATAATAATCAAATTAATAATCAGATTAAATTTATTTTTTTATTTACAATTTATATATATTCTTTATTAATTTTAGATTGATTTTTTTAAAAAAATATAAAATAACTAAATTATATTTTTTCAAAAAAGATAAAATATTAGCAATAACGTAATAATATAATATAAATTTAGTATATATTCAAAATAATAAATTAAATTCATTAGTTACTTAGTAACTTAATTTGATTTCTGTAGTAAAATTGTTATATGTTTTCAATTTTTGTATTTAAACTTATTAAATTTTATTAATTTAGTTATTCATTAAAAAAATTACTATGTAAAATATAATAGTAAACAAATAAAAATAAATTTATAATTTTAACTTTTCATTAATAATGAAATCTAACTTTTGTTAATAAATAAAAAAAATTGATTTTACTAATAATTCTATTTGCAACAATAAGTATGATTTAAATAAAAGGTGTATTGATGTTTTTAACAATACATGAATTCATAATTTAATAGCAGACAAGCTAATAATTTTAATTGTGAAAAAGAAATGACTTTAATTATTAACAGGTGATTTTGTTGATAAATTCTTGATCTTAGTAGGATAAATCCACAATTTCAATAGTAAGTAAATTTAAATGGGCATGGATTACATTTTATCAATGAATAGTTTCACAACTTAATAATCAAGAAAGGTAATAATTTTAGCAATATATGTATTACATGATTTCAACAGTATATTGGTTTAGAATTTCAATAATAGGTTCTCATTCAACAGTGATGTAAAATGTGTTTGTTATTGTAATGACTAGGAAATTTAATGGATTTAAATGATAAATATTTATTTTGATATATTTACGCTTATACGAAATTTTAATGATATCTGTTTGCTTTGTAAAATCTTTGATAATTTGATTTACTAAATCTAATGCCACCATATATTAATTAAGAAAATCCGTCCCGTGCCGAGGTACGGGTCATACGTTAGTATAAATAAAGGGCAAATTCCTCTAAACAGAGAGTTGTGCAACATTATATTAAATTCTGATATAATAAACGTTTTAAAATCACGCATTGTTAATTATATTCAACAGACACATAAGAAATGAATTTTATTATTATTAAATACACGCAAAAATGTACGGGTCTACAAACGCATGTTTCTACAGTTGAATTTGGTAAAGTTAGGTAAAAGGCTGAAAAAAGTAATTCAATTTATAAATGAGTAATAAGTTCAAATATTGAATTTTCATATAAACTTATATTTAATAAAAGGTAAAATAAATTACGTATGTATCTGTATATATATACGTATACAGTATATATCATGACAATATAAATAGCAATATAAATAGATAATACGTACTAAACCTACGCACGTACATTATGTATGTGTGTACATAAACGTTAAGCTTAAATAATATATCTGGTGTAAATCTACATCTTTTAAACTACTTCGCGATGTTCTCGATAAACGGAGCATGATATGATCTTTCGGATATACCCTATAATAGATTTAAAACATATTGGTTAAAGAATTGGTAGCGGTAGTATGCATGTCGATATTATTGGAACAGGATCGTCGATTAAAATTACTGTATTTTGGTTTTTGAAGTCTGATCTTCTTTTTATTTGACTCAAGTGGTACTTACGTTCATGCATTGAAAATGAAGTCAGTTTAGGAATTCGTGCTTCATCTGCAATTATTATATCAAAGTACTTAACCGTAAATACTATATACATATCAGGTATACATTTTTTATGGGACTTCATGTCTGTCAAATTTATGAAAAATTTCAATGAAATACCAAGCAAAAGAACAAGTGATGAGTAATATGAAATGATGTATAATTAGATATGGAATTTATTGAAGGGTTGATCTTGTAGTACTCACCCGAACTTTTTTCCCGTCTCTGACCAAAGTAATTTAAAAATGTATGATAATATAATCACATGACTTTTCAATGATCATGTTCATGACATTTTATCGTCCTATTCTATCTCATTCTTTAATTAGAAATGACACATCATAATTAACGACACTTTCATAAGAACCAGTTGTTTTACTTTAATTTAAAGAATACTTTCGATTACCTAAAATCATCAAAAAAATTTTTAAAAAAAAATCGTTCTAGACAATCTCGGATAAAGTTTATAAATTCTTGCCAAGCTCGAAAATTTACTATTATTAATAGTATAGTTAATATAATGGTGATTATTTGATTTTGGAATGTATGCAGGTACTTAGAATTGGATGCAGATATAATTGATTTTGTACAAAAGGGTTAACTATTGTTCGAACTGGTACTTAAAGATTACATAATAAAATAATAAAGTAACATAAAAACCGGTAAGATTATTTATCATAATATCGGTAAAGAGAATGAATGTTGTGACTCAAAGAATAGGCACTTTAGTAAATAAATTTTTTTTTTTTAATATTTTAGTAACTTTTCTACCCGAGTAGGAATACAAGGATGTTAAAAAAAATTCCGTAACTAAATTTCGTCGATCAAAGTTGTGTATCATAGATTTTTATTGTAATATCAAATTTAGAAAAAATGAGTTGCATTAATTTATAATTAATGATTGGAAAAGGTTATACAAAAATGGCAAGTGATTTCAAAACTTTCAAGTTGCGTAAACTAAAAAACACCACTAAAAATAATACTTTAAAGTTTGTTACCTATATGTACATTTAACCTGCTTTAGGATTTATTAAATATTAACACAACATAATTAACAACCCTTATTATGGTATTGTAATTAAATAAATTAGAATATGATCCCATAAACTTAATACTTATGGTTCCACTTTTGACCATCAAGTCGATCATAAAATGCATACAAGTGTTAAAAACTTAATTACATTAATTTTAATAAATTTAATCATTTGTAGTACTATGAACTATGAAAATGTAGTACTTATGTACTTTTACGTACTTTTACATACTTTATGTATTTTTTTTCAAAAGTTCTATAAGTAGTATATGATAAATTTTGTACGTACCTTTTGGGAATCAAAACAAACTAACAATAATGCATGTAATATTGCACAACATAATTCACGTTAAACTCTTTTAAAAAATGAAAATTAATAAAATGTTTTGGTTTTTTTTCTAAAATAACGTCATATTTCCCCATGAAAGTATGAAAACATTGAAGTTCTTGCAACTAAAGAGCCGAAACCCTGGAGGACGACATAGCAGGCACAGCTTCGGTTTTTTTCGTACTCAAGATGAAGGTATATCAAATATTCCTCCTAAACCGGAGAGAGAAAAAGATTTCTCTTCAACTTTAAAGACTTACCTTACGAAAAAAAGAAATCGAAGAGATACCGAGGTTCGTGCCTCTGCTGTTGAAGCCTTTACCATAAATGGCTTAAAGGAAGAAATACGACAACGGGAGGTTACGCTGGAGGCCTTAAATAAAAGAATTAAGGGCATTGAGTTAGAAAGAGATCGTGCCCGTGTAGAGTTGGATGAAGCCCAAGCTCATCTTAAGGAATGTAGTCATGAGGTCCGGGACCTTAAGGCCTTGCTCCCGGAACGTGACGAAATTATTGATCAATTAACTGAAATTGTTAATAAAATGAGAAAGGAAAAAGAAAATTTACAAGTTGAATTAGATAAAACAAAATCTGAACTTAAAGTTCGTGAAGGAGAAATAAGAGAATTAAATTTTTCTTTACTTGAATGTGCTCATGATTTACAAGCTGCTAAAACTGACCTTTCAGCTACAATAACTGAAAAGGACACTACTCTTTATGATATACAAAAACAATTAAAAGATCGTGAAAAACTTGTACAAACTAATTCAGACCAAATACTTTCTCTTAAACAAGAACTTGAGGCTGCAAAAATGGATCTTGACTCTACTCGGGATGAACTTAAAACTACTCAAACAAAATATAGTGAAGAAATTGATGCAACACAAGCTATGTGTTCAGCTGAAATTGAAGCTACTAAAGCAAAATGTACTGCTGAAATAGGTGTTATAAGAGCGAAATACGCTGCTGAACTTCATGCCACAAAAGAAGAACATGCTGATGAATTAGAGGCCACCAAAGCACAGCTTTCCTTTTTCAAGTCTCAACTTGATTCAACTAAAGCTCAACTTTCTTTTACCAAATCAAAACTTGAATGGGCAAAGGCTGATTTATCATCTATTAAATCATTATTAGATACAGCAAAAGCTGATCTTGCCACCACAAATATTAAATTAAAACGAACAACAGCTGAATTAGAAGCTGCTAAAGGAGAAGTTGATGAATATATAGATATGATGGCATATAGAGATGGTCTCACTTCTCTAATAATATCAGTTTATCAAGAAGATATTCGAAATGAAAAGGAACGAACAGGGTCAGAACTTGAAGATACTCAAGAACAATTGCATAAAATTAAAGCTACACATGAAAAAGAGAAAAAGGCAAATGCTAAAACTATAAAACAATTAACAAATCAAATTCAGAATTTGACAAATTCACAAGGTAATAATTATTATTGTGAAATAATATTAAAAAATTATTTTATTATATTTATATTTATATTCTTACATTAATATATTTATATTCATGTAATAATACTTTTTTATAGTTCAAGAAAAATCTAAAATATATCAACTTGAAACCGATAATGCTAAATTACGGAAACAACTTGAGCAAACGAAAACGCAAGGTTAGTTGATTTTATAAACTTTTGATAAAAATAAAATAAAATTAATTATTAAATTACGTGTAATTTTCGAAAATAGCCGCAGAAGAAATAGCGTGTTTACATGCCCAAGTTGAAACGTTATTGGCTACTTCAAAATCATATGAAGTTATTAGTGAGACACCCATGTCTATTGCCAACATGTCAACTCCACCAGAATCCCCATGCAATTCGCGACCAAGTAGTGACTTCTTTAATGAAACAAGCAGTGAATCAAATAGTGTAACTGATGGTATGATAAATGGAGGCATAAATACAATAGTTACAACTGTTGCAAATGGTGATTGGGTAACAGTTAGAAAAAGAGGTAGCAAGCGAAGAGGTGCACCGCGAAATCGCGGAGTAAATCGTGGTGGACGACGGGTGAGCTTCACCTTTAAAATTATTTGATTAAATATAAAATTAAAATATAATTAATACTGAAATACTAATTACATTTCTTTCAAGTATTAGATATTGAATTTCGATTTTTATCCTCCTATTATTGAATTTTGTTAAGGCAATCACGCAAGAACCTACTTAACCATGGGAACATTTGATATTTAATTACAACACAAACTATCGATACAACATTTAACACTCCTTTTTTTCATCCCACCATTAACTTTCGACCACATACATCTCTCACTTACCGTTTCACTTCTTATTTTTTTTTTTGAGTGCGTTATTTTGGATAGGGTAATATCATGTATCTATCAACATTTTTATTTATTTAATTATTTTTCCTATATTATCTTGTAGTTGACTTTATTTTTGGGATAAAAAGGATAACGATAATATTGGACCAAATTTTAGGTTTAAAATATCACGACAAAGTTACATAAAAAAAAAAAATAATAATACTAAGTTTGATATAAAAAAAAACACACATTAAAGAATTATGTAATTTATGATGGTATTATTTGAAATAATATTATCATACCCCAAAATAGTCATTAAATAGTCATTTATTTATTTTTTATTTCTAAGGAACAACTAGACACGTATAGTTTTCCTTGGAATTGATTAAAAAAAAAGAAAAAAAAAGAAAAAAATTTAGCATTTGTATTATTTAATCAAATTTATTATTCATAGTATAGATTGGTTGTAATTTTAATTTTTTAAAATAATAGGTTTGTGATGAGATGTTGATAATTATTAAAAAAAAAAAAAAAAAAAAAAAAAAAAAATCTAAAATAAATTGTTTAAACGATTGGTTAAATTTTTTAATTAGCATAAATGTAAAATTTAAGATTTTAGAATTATTCAATTTTTCATTCATTCAGGCCAAAGACCTTACTTTGTTGAAATTTGCGATCGTAATCTTACGATCATGAGGTAATGAATTATCAGTTATGTGGGACTACTAACGCTAATGTTAAAATTTCAATTTTCACATGCTGTGACCTATTAAAAAATTCTGGTTATTTATAAATTATTGAGTACGACAATTAAGTATTACCATTTGTTAACATTGATAGATAGTTCCATCACTAATGTGCGTGAAGTATACATTATTCGGCAAAAATTTTTTGAATAACGGCAATTTGGCGAATGAACACGTGCCACAAAGCGACATGTGCAGCCAATCATTCGTCAATTACCTTATTGGTGTTATTTGGCAATTTATAATGATTGGTAGGCTGACGTTGAGTTTTAATTTGAATAAACCTGATCACATTGTATCACATGAAAAAAAATAAAAAAAAATAACGTGCAGAAATACATAAGAGTTTGCTAGATATCTATAAATAATAATTCATATTAGTAATATAGTTCTTTCATGCATGCTAGTGCATAATTAGACGAAATATATATCGGGTATGTATTATTTGCTATTATTATACTTGTTTATAAACCTATGCCTCAAAACAATGTAGCATGGTATTAATTTAATGGGAAATTTTCAAGACGATTACTAACAATAATCGATGTTGATGTTTGTAATCATCAGATATTCACCTTTTTACTAAAAATCACATTAATCTCAACATTCATCTAAGAAATAACCTTTCACATACTAACCAAAAAAAAAATACCTTGAAACGTTTTGGTATAACGATAATTTGCCTACCAAACAACATTAACCGTAAATAAAATGTTACGTAACATATAAATTATTTCAACCAATAAAAAATGTAGGTAAAAATGTGCATCATTAAACTTAGCGTTAGGTGTTGCACGGCAGATCCATGATTTATACTGTACGATTTTGCTTCACAGACAATCACTTTATAGATAGTTAGTTCATAGACATGTTTATTTTATAGAAAATTAAATTACAGACCAATTAATTTCATAGACACTTATATCTTATTTTATAAACATTTATTTCACCAAAAAAGTAATCATAGTCATTATTGTCAATGAAATGAGCTTGTTTAATGAATTCACAAGCAAAACATCGTCCAAAAATCTTTTACAGTTTAAACTCAATTTGATAGTCCGATGTTTCAGTGTGTACAATTGATTGGTTTATTTTGATAATTGCGATTTACGATTGTGACAAAATAACATCAAAAAGTCTTTTGAGATTGAGTTTTGATCATTTATTTTAGAAGTCCTATTCTCAAAAGATCGCTTGACATCTTAAATAAAATAGAATTATCTACTGTGCCAAAGTCAATTGTAATTGTGGCGCAATAAGATATTTCTATTACATTTAAGAGTATCAAACGATTTTTTGAATTAAGCTCTGACCAATCTCTAAAATAATTAATCAAAAAGGGCTTTTTGATGTAGTAAGACGTTTATTTTTATCACAACCTCAATTACAATTGTGAATGTCGTAAAAACTGTGACTCGGTCGCTCAACAATCCAAATCTCGCGTAATAAATGATAGGTAACCTTACGAGAGAGGTGTGTTAAATTTGGCTGGTGAGTGATTAAGGGTAGGAGGCAGTATTTTAAAATTATATATAAACCTAATGGTAAATTTTTTTTATTATTATTATTAATATAATGTTCAAGTAGAAACTTTTTTACATATAGAATCATAAGTTCTAAAATTAAAGATTTCTAAACTACATTTGTGTTACAAGTTGGTACCCAATGTGACATTACATCCTCTATTTCCTATGAGTGCTATAGTTAACTATTTCAAATTAGGTTCTAGTTAGGATAAGTTGAAAGAGACCTTCAAGTGATTGTCTAAACATTATTAAATACATGTAGTTAGTGAATAATCTTGTGTAAGTCATTTAATAATAAAAGAATTAGTATTTATAGTTTGAGAAGAGATTGTTGTATTGTTTGAAGAATTTGATGATGTTGATAAGTAAATTTTAGTATATTTAGATTTTGATATAATGTTACAAGATATTTCTCATTGGTGTTGGTATGTGTTGTAAATAGACCAGAGATCTTGGTAAAACCAGTTTAATAGATTGTTTAAAGCTGAAGTAGGAGGATATTAGTTTGTTTGTTAATAAGTGTTTTGATATTTTTATAAATAGTAGAAGTGAAGATTTTAGTAATAATATATAAGATATATTTGAATTGAGAATTTGGTATGTTGAGTATAAAGTTTAAAAGAATATTTAGTAAGGTTATTGAAGTTATGTTGATAATTTTTAGTGATATTAAAGTATCTTATATTGTATTTTTAATTAATTGTAAAATATTTGTAGTATTATTAAGGCATAAAAATAAATAAAGAGTATCTTCAATATTTATATAATGGGAGTAGTTTGAAGTAATATAGAGATATAGGTAATGGATATTAAGAATTTACATAGTAGGTAGATTATTAGTAAGAATTTTGATATAAAAAAAGTATTTTTGTAAGTTATTTTCAAATGAGAAAATGATTTTAAATTTTAATGACCATTTGAAGTTTATAATGTTTTGAAAGAAATCTAAGTTTGATTATTTGATAATTTTTTAAATAATTATAAAGTTTTTGATGGAGGTATGAACTTTAATAGAAATTAAGTAGTTATTCTATATAAAATAGTTTGGAGTATTAAAATTTGAGTTGTTAATTTAAGAAATAAGTTTTGTAGCTTCTTATTTGACAAATAAATCTGCTTGGTTATAAAAAGAGTCTATAGAATATGATTTAATTTTATAAAAAATAATAGTAATATTTTTAAGTTATTTAAGATAGTTAATATAGTAAATAATGTTCCAATTTTTGGTTTGTATAGGTTTGAAGTCAGTGATTGAGTTAAGATTTCTAATTACAGTTGTATTATCAATGTAAATATTTAAAAGAATATTAGATAAAACTGCAAATAAGAGAGTGAAGATTGCTTCAAGTTCAATATAAGTTGAGTTAGAATATAATTTTATTGCTGCATTAAATTTTATAGATATATCATATTTACAAATCCATCTTATATCACATTTGGTTTTTAAAGTTTGTAGATTTTTGATTGCTCTATTAGTATAGAAATGTAATTTATCTGTGTTAAGTTAAGTAATAAAGTTATTTAGATCAGTTAGTTGTTTTTGGTATAATAGTGTGTTGATAAATTGTTGAATAAATTAAGTTTCATGTGATAAAAATGATATTTGTAATTTTATTAATGGAGTTAATTAGTAAATAGTAGTGTTATATATATGAATTAGAGCTAAGATTTCTTTAAAGTCAATTTGAATAGTTATTGAGTCTTTTGATTTGATGGCTGAGTTATAAAGTAGAAAGAATAAATGAAAATTTGGTGTTGGATGATTAGTAGTTGGTAGTAGTTGTAAGAATCCTGAAGTGAAATGTAAAAATTTCAAAGAATAATAGTTATTATAGAGAGGTTTGTTTAAAAATGTATGATGTTTAATTATTTGTATAATATATATGATAAAAGTAGTGAGAGTTTGAAGATAAGAATAATGAAATTAGTTTAATTGTATTAAAAAAGATATTGGTAGAAAAAGGTTTATATGAGACCAAGTTTGAGTTATAGTATTAGATTAGTTTAGATATAAAATTTGAATAAACTATTTTAATTAGTAATCTTTAATAGGTTTATTTGTGTATAAATAGATATTGTTCTATATGAGAATATTTTTGTTATTTGCAATTATAATTTGTTCTAGAAAGATAATTTTATTATTTCTAAGACTATTAATAGTAGATGTAGATAGGTTAATAAAGAGGATATCATAAATAATATGAGTATTTTTTGGTATTGATAAGGAAAAAGATAAGATTTAAGAAATAATTAAGGATAAGATGTCATTTAAAGCTAGTTGAGAAAGATGAAAAAATAAAGTATACTTTTGTATTTTTTAATAGTTGTTAGTTAAAGTATTTAATACAAGTTGAAGTGACTATATTTTGGTAAGCCATTCTTTAATTTATTAAATGCCAATGTTTTTAAGAATTGATAATGTATTAAATATTCATTTAGTATTAACTGTATTGACTTTTTGAATAATGTTA